CCCTCAGGCGGCTCCACGAGGTACTCCTACCGTTTTTTTAGTCAAGTCAGCTTGGTTTCATTCTGGTCACTTCAATGTTTCTCGGCACGTGTAAACGGCAATTTTAACTTCTCAACCTCCGCTCCTCTGCGGCTTGATATGGGCTTAAAAGAATGGACGAGGGAGGAGTGTGGTAGATGCAAAGAAAGTTCACGATCATTTTAAATTATTTTCCACACAGGTCACCGTTCATGCACGTATAAAAGTGGAAAATAATAGGGGTAAGTATTTAAATAACCAAATATTTGTACGCGCGATTATTAAACTGAGAAGCACAATCGATGGCAAATAAAAGGTACCCAAGTCTGTGCCGAATCTGGTACCCGCAAAACTGATGCAATCGTGTGTCGACCATATACGGACAGGGCATACCATCGAAAAAAGTGGAGCGTATAAAAGTAGAAAATAATAGGAAAAATTAATCAAGAAACCAAATATTTGCACGCAAAAATAAAAATAACAGACACCACCAGTAGGAAACAAGAATTACCTAGTTAGACATAATCGTATATCGACTGTATGTCGATTCTATATCGAATGCAACCCGCAAGGCGGTTACAATCGTATTTCGAATCTATTTTGACTCTCTGTCGAATTTTAGAGATTAAAGTAACACAATGAAAGGTAGGTTTCTCTAAAAAGATTTCAACTTAATACCTTCTAAGCTATGGCACTACAATCAAAGTAATCGTTTCGTTGGGACGATAAGAAAAGTTCATCGCAATTATGTAGTTAATTACACATAACTCCCTACATATTTCGTTATACATAACCCTAAACCTAACCGTTACCCTAAGACACGAACATCTGTGCGCTACCAGCGATACCTGCACCGAAATGGCTTTATTAGATTTGCTTGGGGGTGTCATTCTTATGTCGGGATGGTATGTGTCATAGTAAGCGGGGATGGCGTACTAATATTTTCGTGAAAATACAATAGTAATACTGTTACAAAGTCAGTAGACAGTTATATGTCGTGTTTTTGTTTTGTGTTTACTCCAGGTGGGTCGCATCTTTAGGCGCAAAGTCCGCCCATGGATGCTGTCGCACCTACCGGATACCAAATGGACCGCTGCAAAAACTCCCTCTGGCAGCGCGTTCCGTGGCAGCTCAGAGATCTACGATATCATCACTCGCGTTGTGACCTATTTCTTTGTGAATTACACTGCTGTGGCTTTCGTCATGCTGAGTTTTGAAGGGAGCCTCATTGCCTGGCGGTAGGTTCATATTTGGTTTGTTTTAATATCTCATTGTCAAATAAACTAACATTTCAGCTATTCCGCATACCCTAAACCAGGCGCACACTCGTCTATCAAGTTTACACTAGAAGAAGAACAATCCGGATCGCTCCCATTCCTCTATGTACTATTGAGTAAAATGGTTGACAGGGATATCCAACGTAGGGTCTATCGTAAGAAGACGTGGTCTGGGCAATACACCCATTTTGCTGGTTTCGTAGGGTTAAACTTCAAAAGTCTGTTTGACGCAGGGGGCGAAAGGATCTGCTCGACTGATAGCATCGAAGAGCAGCTTAAGGTTGTTGAAGACTTTTTCGACATAATGATTATCTCAGTGGATTTATTGCGAAGAACGTGGCTGAAAGACCGCCAGTCATAACCAGACCCAAGTGGTGTCCCATCCGAGCCTCGAACTCACGACCTTTTTAATCACAGTCAAACACCCTAACCATTGAGCCACGAGCTCGTTGTCTCGCCGGTTTATGTCCAGCTGCCTACTTCCAACTGTTACGCCTGTCAGTACCTCTGTCGAGGCCCGAAGCAGAGCGGAACAGATGAGTTCCGTTAGTGGGGTCATGTGAACTTTCATCAATGAGAATCAAACGCCGTTTTTGTTGGCGATACTATTCAAAAGTCCTAATAACTAGGTATGCTGGCTTTTTTGAAAATTATCCCTGTCGGTTTGTTCATGCAGCCCTGATTGGAGCTTTCTTTATCTCTCTTCTCCATACTTATTTTTCTTTTTCTGTAGGAATTTTTATTTCCTGGGCCACGTACTCTGTGCGCTTCTTCAAATCACTCTAATGTTTTGGAGCCCCAAGGTCGACGCGGTTCACGCAGACTCAACTGCCAAGCAGAAATCGCTGTGATGCCAAATTCTCTTTGCGTGCTTTTGTTTTTTTTTTCTCTTTCCGTGCGCCCACTCTTTTTTTGGTTTTTGCTTTACTGGTCTTTCGTTCGGATAAAATTGGGTGTGTCGTCTGCCCTTTTGCTCTCTCTTTTTCGACTCTGGAAG